GGCGCCCCCGGCCCTCCGCCGCGCCGGCTGCCGCTGCCCGCCAGCCGCCCGGGACCTGAGCACCCGGGACAGCGATCCGGGAACCAGGACTGTGCACTGGCACAAGCACAGTGCCTGTCAAGCGCTTCCTGTACCACCTGAACGGTGGTCAGAGATGGCTTCTCCGCGGTCTGGCCGGGAAGGTCTGGGTGGCGAACGTTCCACGAAGGCGTCCTAGAGGCCCCTGCAGTCTCCACTCTCCTGTTCTGCTCCAGTACCTGGGACTATAGTGTAACCTAAGACGCCCACATTCGGGGCCTTGAATGAAGACATCTGTCCCCTCCCCACTGAATAGAGCACTCGCTTTCTGCCAACATCAGGCGAGGCTGAGGTCCAGGATCTTCCGTGTGCTACCTCCCCTTCTTGGCATTTGACCTCCCGATGTCCCCACTCCTGAAGAATTCTCCCTTCCCCTCCCTGGTGGGGTCTATCCTCAGGCCAGAGCAGGGCCACATGCCCCTGTATTTGTCCTCTGCTAGGTCTCATTGGCGGCACTGGCTCACTCTTTATGAAGAGTTTTTTTAAGTTCATCCATTTACTTCATAAGGGAGAGACTGAGAGAAACAGAGACAGCACCACCAACAGGTTCTTCACAGCACCATCCACACCCAGTCTCAGCTGGCGTGGATCATGGGCGTGCACCTGGCATACTCAGGGAAGTCCTGGGACACAGACCTAGGACCTTTCCCATGCAGGTCCAGTTGTGTTAGCGCTGTGCCAACTCCTGGCTCTGGCGCTGGTCAGATGCACCTGGATGAGCTGACCTAAGGCGCTAGGCCAGCCCACCACTGTGTACTTGAAGAGTGAAATCCCAAAGGCTGATTGATGCAGGCGACAAAGTAGGGCATCAGATTTCAAAATATTCTTGAGCCTGAGGCAAGCAATATCAAGGACCTTCCTTGAGCACTTCCTGCATGCCTTAGATTAGAACCCTCACAACGGCCCCATGAACTATGTGTATTGCATGTATGATGCTCATTACAGACAAATACACTGAGGCTCAGAGTTCTGTATCTTGTCAAAGTACAGAGCCTCTAAGGGAGGACTGGAATGCAGAGCCAGTCCGAGCTCTGTTCTCAATTCAGGGGGAGCTGGGCGCTGGGCAGCCAACTTCCCCTCAGGGAGGGACACCGCCCTAACTCCCAATTACTCTGGACCTCGGTTCCCTCAAGCGTGTGGTGAAGGAGTTGGGCCAGATGATGTCCACAGACTCTTGTGGACCGTGGCAGGGGCAGGCAGCCCTGAGCCAGGGTTGGGTTATCAGAAAGCTAGAAGAGCGAGAGCCGAGCCTAAGCAGACTACTGGAAAGTACCTTGGACAGCGCCAGGGAACAGAGCCAAACTCTCCCTGCCCCAACTCCTCTTTCCAGGCTTCTTAAACATCACCTCGCTGGATCCACTTACTGTTTCCTTATCCCCAAGCTGGAGGGTTCTCATGAACAGGACTCACCTCAGCATCTTCATCCCCACCCTATTCCCTCCTCCCCCGCCCCCCAAAGTAAAAGGCTAAGGAGACAATATAATCCTCAGACACTTGGTCATCTGGTGTTAGGAATATTCTCGTCATAGGCGACAGGCACCTGTCATTCCTTAACTCCTCAGCTCAGGTTTCTTTCTTTTTTTTCTTTCTTTTTTTTTTTTTTTTAGAGGTTTTCGCTATAGGGTGTGTGCACTCGCCAGACAGACAGAGACAGACAGAGAGACAGAAAGCAAGAAATCACCCCCCAGAGGGGATGGTCACGCCGCAATCCCTTCTCCTCCATTCTCCTCGCAGGATCTTGGGCACGCACGCAAACGTGCCCGGCATGAGTTCTAAGCCACCGGGTCCGGGACGCAAACCGCAGTCGACTACGTGGGAATCCAGCGACATAGCCATTACGCTAACTGCTGGTTCCCTCTTTCTTTCTTTTTTTAAGAGAGATTTTTGCTATAAAGCATGTGTGCTCACCAGAGAGACAGAAAGTGAGAAATCACCCCCCAGTGGGGATAGCTGTATTGCAATCTTTTCACCTCCATTCTCCTCTCGGGATTTTGGGCATGCACGTGCACACACCCCGTGTGAGTTTTAGGCCACCGGGTCTGGGACTTGAACTACAGTTGACTCTGTGGGACTTCAGTAAGGTAACTATTACGCCATCTGCTGGTCACAGCTCAGGTTTCTTGATGAGCCCTTTTTTTCCCCCTTAGTCATTTCTGTTTTCCTTGTAAGCTTTGCCTATATGGAGTATCTGCTGACAGCTACATCTGGGAATAAGTTGAAAGCTGGGGTAATTTTGCCTGACATTTACCAAGGGGTTGAAGGCCCTGTCTGGCATCCTGCCCTTCAGTCCCTCTCTTTTCTCTTATGGGGTGACCTGACTCCAAGACACAAGGCCTGGGACCAGCACTGATAGGAGAAACACTAGCCTCACTCCCCATTGGTTTGGCTCCATGCCACACTCTGATCTGATGCCAGCCTCTGAGTCCCGAGCATCCCTCTGATTCTGAGGTCCTGCCCTGGCTTTGTGTTCCAGTTTGGGTAATGAGTCCCTAGCACACTTCCTGAGTCTAATTTTTTGCCTCAGTCGCCAGCCTGCAACCCATGTTCTTCTAGAGCTGGAGATAAGCCTCTGATTTTACAGTAATCATTCATTCTTTTGACCCATGTTTTTTATTTGCTTGTTTGTTTTCATTTGCAATAGAGCACATGCACATGCCAGAGAGAGACAGATGACAGAGAGAGATCACACACACACACACACACACACACACACACACACACATCCAGGGGAGAAGAACATTCTGTAATGCCTTCTCCTCCACTCTTCTTGGGATTTGGGGCATGCAAGTACATGCACCTGGCATGTTTTTCAAGCTGCTGGATCCAGAACTTGAACCACACTGTTGGCCATATGGGATTCAGCAACCTTAACCTCCACACCATCTGCTGGCCCTCAACCCATGTTTGAGAGGGTCTATGACATGCAAGGTAGAGTACTAAGAGCTGAAGACATAGGAAGACAAACCAGGTCAAATCCCGGCTCTTGCAGAATTGACATTCTAGTGGAGAAATAGGAATAAGAAGACATTTTAGTAGTCTGTTTGTGAGAAGTGGTATGGCGAACAGAGCAGGAAGGAAGATGGAGACTGGCATGGTGGGGCTGCAAACTGAAATAGGAAGATCAGAGAAGGGCATGTGAGATGTCATCTCAGTGAAGACCTATAGGAGGTAAGTAAGACATGCAAATCACATTCTACACAGAGGAACTGCAAGTGCAAAGGCCCCAAGAAAG